AATAAAATCCTTACTAAATGACACCCATCTGATTCAAGTAAAAAATGACTTAAACACTAGTAATAAAGAAAGACAAAACACATTTCATGAAGAATACAAAGATAAATGTCTGCTGAGTGTTTTAGTTCAGATGTTTCAGAATGCTGCTGTATGTTTTGTGAGGAATTTGAGGGGAAGATTTCATAGCAGGTGTTAAGGTGGCCCGTATTGACTTGAGTGGTGGCCCAACTGGACTGTGAAACTGTGGGATGCCTATGGACTCGAGCTGCTGGTTAAAGAGGAACTCCCCACTGTTGTTCCGAAACCCTTCCTCATTTCCTCTCTCCCCAAGCTTCCCATCCTCTCTGGGCTCCATTTCTAGCATTTTGGTATCTTCTTTCCTGCTAAAGAGCTTGTCCAGGTAACTAGTGTCAGTGTTTTCCTTCTCAAGTTGTTCATCCTTCCTTACCTCACAAAACTGATTTATGAAAAAAATAGTCCTCCCCACCACTCACAAACTGTCCCAAGAAGATTGGTATGTCTTCCAATTGAGCCAAATTTGCTATTCCTTTTTCCTGTTTTTCTTGGCTTACTGACTTTGATATCAAGCTTTTCAACTCTAGTTGGGACACTGAGCTATTGAAGTCATTTAATTTATCAACAACATCAGTAGGCTCATGTTGGGAACTAAGCTGAATCGTTCCTGCAATAAAGGAATCAAAATCAAATTCCTAATTCTTTTCCCTTTTCCGGCCAGTTGCTGTGATGCTTCCTCTAGTGCTATCTGGGCTTTAACCAATCCATTCCTTTCACATTTTGATTTGCCTTTCTTACCAGGTTTTTCTTTGCTTTGTTCTTTCCAATTGTAAAGATCTATAATAAACTTGGGTTCACAGTAATGGTTAACTTCACTCTCTCTCCGAACTAAGTTATCTAAATATGATGATGACCTACTTTTGTAATTACAAGTATGGCTACACTCCAGATCAGAGTATTTGTTTTCATGATGATCTGGGTACTGCCAACAAGGCTCAGTAGAGTAACTGGTATCAAAAGCAGGATCTTCCACATACTTTTCCCGATCTCCATCCAAATATTTTCAGGGATCAACTTGTACTTCCTTTTTTTGGGGGGGCGGAGTTTCGCTGCTGTTACCCAGGCTGGAGTGCAATGGCGTGACCTCGGCTCACCGCAGCCTCCGCCTCCTGGATTCAAGCAATTCTCTTGCCTCAGCCTCCTGAGTAGCTGGGATTACAGGCACGTGCTGCCATGCCCAGCTAATTTTTTGTATTTTTAGTAGAGACGGTGTTTCACCATGTTGACCAGGATGGTCTCGATCTCTTGACCTCGTGATCCACCCGCCTCAGCCTCCCAAAGTGCTGGGATTACAGGCTTGAGCCACCGCGCCCGGCTTGTACTTCCTCTTTATCAGTGACATCAGACAGAGCTCTTGGATCAAGTTGAACTTCATCAATATCAAAGTTGTTATGTGTAGGCCAATCATGCTCTGAAAACTGACCATCATGGTACCTTTCCCAGTTATAAGTGTGACTGTGAGCTTCATCCATAAGCAAAGTATCATCAACTTCATCTTCAATATGAAAAGGATGGCTTGAAATTGGCTCATTCATTGGAAAAGAATATATGCTCACGAAGGATGGGAGAGTGCGGCTTCTGCTGTTAACCCATCCATGGGGCTAAATGTCAAAATTTCTTTCAGGAAATCCAGTGCTTCTCTACTAATTCCTGGAAGCAGCTGAGTTAAAGGTTTGTGTGGCTCAGTCATGTCATTTTTAATGTAAACTGGAATTACGCTGAGAAGCTCCTGACGATCTTCCTCATGTACAACAGGAATAGATTCTAAAATCAGCTGCATCTGTTCAAGTTCATGTGCACCTGCAAAAAGGGTTTTACCAGTCAGCATTTCAGCAAAGATGCAGCCTGCTGCCCACATGTCAATGGCTTTTGTGTAATTATTAGGAGAAAGTAAAAGACGTGAAGATCTGTACCATTTAGTAAGCGATCCTTCAGAAAGATGACCCTTATGGGAATAATGAGGATCCATGATCTGTGCAAGACCAAAGTCACCTATCTTCAGCACAAGTCTTCAGTGTTAATGAAAAGATTAGCTGGTTTGAGATCTCTGTGCAGTACATTTGCAGAGTGAATATACTTGAGCCCCCGTAGCAGCTGATATATGGAAAGCCTGGCATGCTCATCCAGTAAAGGGCCCTGCTCCAGCACATTAGCCAAGTCTGTCTCCATGTACTCCTGAACAATGCAAACACTGTTCAGCTCTGTAAGAGAGCCCACATCGTCTGTTAATTGGCTTCCACTGGGACCAAGAATTTCAAACACTTTGACAATGTTATCATGATCAAGTCTAACAATTTTGATTTCACGTACAGCATGTTTGCCAATCTGGGGATCGGTAAGTACAATTTTCTTGATGGCTATTCTTTTGTCACAGTCATTGTCTACAGCAGAAAAAAACCAAGCCATTGCCTCCACAACTCAATGGTTTTAACTCCATATACCTAGAACTCAGATCAAAACCATGAAAGTTCATGAGACTTTCAAATTTCCCAGTTTGAAACCCTTACTATTGCCTTTTCCTTTAGAATTGTTGAACTTGTGAAAACAAGGAAGAAAACTTGCATCAGAAGGAGAGATCTTTCAAAAAGGAGAAGAAAAATAATTATGCTTCCACAGCAAGATGGTTTCTTGATGTTCACTGCATATGCCAAACAGGCCTGTTGAGCTCCCCTTAGATTTTTTTTTTTTTTTTTTTTGAGACGGAGTTTCGCTCTTGTTACCCAGGCTGCAGTGCAATGGCGCGATCTCGGCTCACCACAACCTCCGCCTCCTGGGTTCAGGCAATTCTCCTGCCTCAGCCTCCTGAGTAGCTGGGATTACAGGCACGTGCCACCATGCCCAGCTAATTTTTTTGTATTTTTAGTAGAGACGGGGTTTCACCATGTTGACCAGGATGGTCTCGATCTCTTGACCTCGTGATCCACCCGCCTCGGCCTCCCAAAGTGCTGGGATTACAGGCTTGAGCCACCGCGCCCGGCCGAGTTCCCCTTAGATTTAAAGCTCAAAAAGCTCTACTCATATTGAGAATTAAAAAGATTGCAGTACTCATGGTTCAAGAAAGGGGCAGCAACTTTGCCGACATTTAAAGAAAACACTCAAGAAACTCAAACGGAATGTAATGACATACTATGCACCAGATTACTGTGCTAAATGATTTAACATTTAACAAAATGTGAATAAATATGCACACAACAGGCTTTTATGAACATTCTCCTCATAGTGCAGATATATTCAGTGTTGGACTGGTCCTGAGCAGCATCGTTCTAAGGTGCTGGTAAGCACTATTTCCATTTTGCTTCTTTTCTTCCTTTGTTGCTATATATTTCAACAGGAAGCCCTGGCGGCTGCTCGTTAACAAATGTCTTTTGTTAATGATCAGGTGGCTCCAGCTCACCACAATCACAATAAAAGCTACTGTCCATCTGGCTCTGATACAACCTCATTCGTGGCTAGACTCAAAACCTGGGCGGACTTCAGGGCTCTGAGACAAGTTGGGTGAGCGCTGCGCGCTATGCCACTGGAGACTTTGCCGGGCCGACATCAGAGATTTGTTTACTTTTATCTAAAACAGATAAATTATCACTTCAAAGAACTGACTAGCACTATGCTGAAAATGTTCTTGTTTTTCCTTTTGAGCACGTTGACTTTACGTCTGTCTCTGCCGATCTCTGCCAACACTGTCTTCCTGATTAAACTGGAATCAGGGATTACTTCTTTCCCTATAATTTCATGTACCGTGTCTTTTATGGCCACTGGCCTCTGGGCCAAAGAACTATCATTTTCCCATGGACTTAAGTAAGACATGGAAGAGTAATTTAGCAAAGTCAAGTAGAATTTACAGACCTTAATTTAATAAGTAATGACATGAGACTACTAAAAACGGAACAGGAACCACACTATCTGAATTGGATTAGGTCAATTCCGGAGACAAGTGAGGTTATTTCCAGACTCCAGCTAGACTCCTTCGACCTCGCATCATTTCCACTGCTGGTGTGAATCACGTCATCTACTGGACTTCTGCAACGGCCTCCTAACAGGTTACCCTACTTCTACCCTTGCCCACCCCTAGCCCATTCCCAACACAGTAGCCCCAGAGATCCTTTGAAAGCAAAGCCAGGCCGGGCACAGTGGCTCACACCTGTAATCCCAGCACTTTGGGAGGCCGAGGTGGGTGGATCACTTGAGGTCAGGAGTTTGAGAAAGCCTGGCCAACATGGTGAAACCTCATCTCTACCAAAAAATACAAAAATTAGCCGGGCGTGGTGGAGCGCACCTGTATTCCCAGTTACGTGGGAGGCTAAGGCATGAGAATCACTTGAACCCAGGAGGCGGAGGTTGCAGTGAGCCGAGATCATGCCACTGCACTCCAACCTGGATGACAGAAGGAGACCCTGTCTTAAAAAAAAAATGCTGAATGAATGCAATCAAGGAGTGCGTGAAGCTGGGTGGCTTTTCCTTCTTCCAGCTCCTCCTGCTTTCCCCAATCCCCTCTCAAAGTAGTTGACTTAGATTCTACTAGACACACTTGCAGAAGTCATGAAGGCTAATTGTGATATTTCACGTTCTTCCTTGGACTTTGGAGCCATCTCTTTTTAAAGAAGGAAACCTTCAATAGTTTTTCCGCCCTCCATCTTTATTATTATGACTTAGAGAATGATAGGGAAACAAGATATGGTCCACTCCTTTACTCTGATCCTATGATAGTCAAAAGTCCTATGGGGATTTAATCCATATCTCTTATTAGTATCCTCATTTACTCTTGGCATAATATTGTGCCCACACCCTAAACCTATGGACAGACAGGTTAATAGGACCACAATTAGAAGTTTACTATCAGCTGGGTAGAGTTTGATCAGGTAAAATCAAAGGCAGGATAAAGGTTTCTCCTAAAATTGTCATTTCATCTTCTCTATTTTGTTTTTTAGCTTTTTTACCAGGGATCTCGCAATGTAAAGTCTATCCAGTGATGAGGGCTTCATCAGAGACTTTTTCCACCACTACCCCTTCCATAACTCCTGGGAATAAAGAAGGAGAGAAAACTACAAGTACTGGTAATTTTTCTAGCTTTGAAATGACAAAGTACAAAATAAGTAGAAGTAAAACAAGAACAGAAAAAGAAACATTTTTAGCTCCAATGTTAGTCTGAGTCTACTGATATGTTGAGAAGTTACTGAATGTACATTGAAAAATCATTCAATTTCTTTCTTTCTTTCTTTCTTTCTTTCTTTTTTTTTGAGACTGAGTTTCTCTCTCGTTACCCAGGCTGGAGTGCAATGGCGCGATCTCGGCTCACCACAACCTCCGCCTCCTGGGTTCAGGCAATTATCCTGCCTCACCCTCCTGAGTAGCTGGGATTACAGGCACACACCACCATGCCCAGCTAATTTTTTGTATTTTTAGTAGAGACGGGGTTTCACCATGTTGACCAGGATGGTCTCGATCTCTTGACCTTGTGATCCACCCGTCTCGGCCTCCCAAAGTGCTGGGATTACAGGCTTGAGCCACCGCGCCCGGCCTCAATTTCTTATAGAAAAAAAATAGCTTCTCGCTGGGCACGGTGGCTAACGCCTGTAATCCTATCTCTTTGGGAGGCTGAGGTGGGTGGATCACCTGAGGTCAGGAGTTCAAGACCACCCTGGCCATCATGGTGAAACCCCATCTTTAAAAAAAAAAAAAAAGAAAGAAAGAGAAAAATAGCTTTTCTATAAAGAAGGTCCCAGAAATGTTTGTAATTTGACACCATTAATGATATTTATCTCCACGCAAATGAGCTCACCCTGTAGCCAGAATTAGAGACAGAAAAAACAGTATTCCTGTAGTAGGTAATTCTAGCCACTGTCTGTATAGATGGACTATATTTAAACACTAAGCAATTATAAGAGTGATGACACCAACCAAGTGCTTTGCTTTCTCTTTCTTTTTTTCTTTCTTTCTTTCCTTCCTTCCTTTTCTTTTCTTTCTTCCTCTCTCTCTCTCTCTCTCTCTCTCTCTTTCTTTCCTTCTCTCTTTTTGTGAGAAAAAGTCTTGCTGTGTTACACAGACTGGAGTGCAGTGGTGCAAACACAGCTCACTGCAGCCTTGACCTCTGGGGCTCAAGTGATCCTCCCACCTCAACCTCCTGAGTAGCTGGAACTACAGGTGCGTGCCACTGTGTTTGGCTAATTTCAAAACTGTTTTAGAGACAGGGTCTTGCCATATTGCCCAAGCTGGTCTCAGACTCCTGGGCTCAAGTGATCCGCCCACCTCAGCCTCCCAAAGTGCTGGGATTACACACATTACCTACCAACCATGGCCAGCCCCAAGAGCATATTTTCATCCTCACTGTTTTTTGTTTTTTTTTTTTTCTTTTTTCTTTTTTTAACTTGCAAACTATGCAAAGACATTCTCATGCACCACCATGCCTGGCTAATTTTTATATTTTTAGTAGAGATGGGTTTCACCATGTTGGCTAGTCTGGTCTAAGGCTCCTGACCTCCAGTGATCTGCCCACCTCAGCCTCCCAAAGTGCTGGGATTACAGGAATGAACCACCGCACACAGCCTGCTTCACTGTTTTTTTTTTTTTTTTTTTTTTTTTTTTTTTTAGTAACAGTCCTCCTTAAATTGGCCAAGACTCAAATTCTGTAAGATTCCAATTTGGGTTACATCCTAGTTTCTACAAGAGGAAAAAAAAGATATTAGTAATAACAAGATGCATATAAGGGCTGGGTGAGGTGGTTCACACCTGTAATCTCAGCACTTTGAGAGGCCAAGGCTGTAGGATCACTTGAGGCCAGGAGTTCAAGCTCAGTGGGAAATATAATGAGACTCTGTCTGTATAAAAATTTTCAAAAATTAGCCAGGCATAGTGGCATGCACCAGCTACTCAGGAGGCTGAGGTGGGAGGATGGTTTGAGCCTGGGAGATTGAGGCTGCAGTAAGCCAAGGTTGTGCCACTGCATGTCAGCCTGAGTGACAGTGAGAAAAAAATGCCTATTAGCCATTTGCTGCCAGATTGAACTTCTGACTGAGAAGCAGTGCCAATTTACATTTCTTCCTCTTATACCCCATAAAAGCCAAGGGAAACATGGGAAAGGCGATTTTCTAATCCCATAAAATGTGTCAGAGCAAAATGGTAGGAACCCTGATAAAGCTGACAGTGAAAGACGTTTAGAACTCCTTGTGTACCCAAGATTTTTCTTCTTGAGAACAGTATAAGAATCAGCCCTATGTGATTATGGAAAATCTCCAATTCCAGGGAAGGTGACTCATTGGGAAGAGGCTGCAAAAGAGGTTAGAGCAGAGTCCATGATGCTCAGCTTACCCCATCCCCTCCAACCCTGAGTCTGAATTGGAAATTCAGCCTCTGCCTCTGGGTCAGTCTGGGCCTCTACTATTCTTGTGAGCTAGAAGAACTTCAAGTCAAAGGTTCAATCTCTTCCCTCTCTCAAATTCTCTTCTTTCCCTCTTCCACTCCCCTCTCTCCTTTAGACACAGATGAGAACCTAGAGAAGAGAAAGAAATGGAGTATTGTGGTCAAAATTCTGATTGCTGTCACCCTGTTGCTCAGTGGAATCGCCATTATAGTATTTATAATTTTTGAAGTCCCATGCCCTGTAAGTTTGCTGATGTATCGAATCCTTGGACTTGATCTGTAAAGACTTTCTTTTGTTACAGAGGCAGCCTGGCATAATGAGAAAAGCATAGACTTTGGCACTGGGGTAGATCTGCCACTCACACTCATTAGCTGAGTGGTTTGGGAAAGTTGTTTGACTCTTCCTCTTTTTTTTTCTTTTTGAGACAGTCTCACTCTGTCATCAGGCTGGAGTGCAGTGGTGTGGTCTCAGCTCACTGCAACCTCCATCTCCCAGGTTAAAGCAATTCTCCGCCTCAAAGTCCCAAGTAGCTGGGACTACAGGCATGTGCCACCACACCCGGCTAAATTTTGTATTTTTAGTACAGACAGGGTTTCACTATGTTGGCCAGGCTGGTCTGGAACTCCTGGCCTCGTGATCCGTCTGCCTTGGCCTCCTAAAGTGCTGGAAATACAGGCATGAGCCACCACGCCCACCCTTGTTTGACTTTTCTAACCTCAGTGGCCTCATGTGTAAAGTAAGTCTCATGATATTCACCTCTCATAATAGTGATGAAGATTGAGATCCTGTGTGAAAGGTGCCTGGCAGAGAGGTGCTCGCTAAATGCAACTTCCTTTCCTCTGCTGTAATTAGACCATTTTCTAGGAAGGATAGGTCCAATAGGACTGAATATTTTATTTAGAAGAGATGACTTCCTTTAAGTTGCCCAACATGGGGTTTGGAAGAAAACCAAATACTACCAGCCACTTAATATTAATACCAGTCATTTTCTCCCTTCAGCGTCAATGCCTACGAGCGCGGGAGCTGTGCCAATGCCAGTGGTTGTGGAGATGGGAAAGGAAGCAAGGCCAGCCATCTGTGACAGCTGAATCCAAGTCTGACTCTCAGCCACAGAAGGAAAGTATTCTCCGTGTGGTTTATGTCATTTGCTTAAAGAAAGTGGGGTAGCCGGGCACGGTGGCATGTGCCTGTAGTCCCAGCTACTCAGAAAGCTGAGGTGGTAGGATCGCTTGAGCCCAGGAGTTCTGGGCTGTAGTGCGCTATGCCGATTGGGTGTCCACACTAAGTTCGGCATCATTATGGTGCCCTCCCGGGAGCAGGGGACCACCAGGTTGCCTAAGGAGTGGTGAAACAGTCCAGGTCGGAAATGGAGCAAGTCAAAACTCCCATGCTATTCAGTAGTGGGATCACGCCTGTGAATAGCCACTGCACTCCAGCCTGGGCAACATAGCAAGACCCTGTCTCTTAAAAAAATATTTTTTTAAATAAAAAATAAATAAAAAGAAAGTGGGGTAAAGGCCAGGTGTGGTGGCTCATGCCTGTAATCCTTTGGGAAGCCAAGGTAGGTGGATTACTTGAGGTCAGGAGTTGGAGACCAGCCTGGCCAACAGGTGAAACCCTGTCTCTACTAAAATTACAAAAATTAGCTGAATGTGGTGCATGTGTCTGTATTCCCAACTACTCAGGAGGCTGAGGCAGGAGAATCACTTGAACCTGGGAGGCGAAGGTTGCAGTGAGCTGAGATCGCACCACTGCACTCCAGCCTGGTCAACAGAGTGAGACTCTGTCTCAAAAAAAAAATAAATAAATAAAATGGAGTTAATATATAAGTGCTAAATTCATCCCTAAGAGGACCATGAAAAAATATATTTTTTTAAATGTGCCAGGAACAGGGAGCTGCTTCAGTTATAGCAAATGTGGGTATTTTTTTTATGTCAGAAAATAGGTAGGATTTTATACTACTGTTTTCCTAACATCAGTCCAGCCATAACACAATAGGGTGCTTATTGAATACATATACCTCTGGGCCCCATGTAAACTGAATCAGATCATTTAGACTAGAGTCAAGAATCTTACTTTTAAGATTTTTAAAGCCAGACCTGGTTCATCATGCCTGCAATCCCAGTGCTTTGGGAGGCAGAGGTAGGAGGCTTGCTAGAGTCCAGGAGTTTGAGAGCAGCCTAGGTAACATAGCAAGACACTGTCTCTATAAAACATATATATATATAGCCAGCTAGTGGCACATGCCTATAGTCCAGGCTTCTTGGAAGGCTGAGGTAGGAGGATCACTTGGGCTCAGGAGTTGAAGGCTGCAGTGAGCTATGACTGAGCCACTGCACTCAAGCCTGGAGAAGAGAGTGAGACCCTGTATCAAAAAAAAAAAAAAAAAAAAAAAAAAAAAAAGAATTAGGGGGATAACCACATAGCCGCAACCGTGATTAAATGTCTATGAACACAAAAGACTACTAAGTGATAAAGGAATAAAAATAGAACTAAGATAACAATTTTATAAACATGATCTCATTTGAGCCTCACAGAAATCCTGGAAAGTAGCCAGGGCAAGTACCTACATTTTACTCATACTTACGTTGAAGTTTGGAGAGGTTATGTGACTTCTCATGGTTATACAGCTTGTAGAAACAGAACTATGATCCAGATATTTTAATTACTTTGCAAGTGGGTTATAGGTTCCAAGCAATTATAGGTTTCGTACCTATGTGTACCTTGATCCATACTTTCTCAGGGTAATTACCGATTAACAAAGACGAAACATGAAGTACACTTGGAATGATATGGGGTTTTGTACTTAGCCAGCCCTTTTCTTGGCACATGAAGAACTATACACTCACATCTTCTTTTAACGTTCATATTTCCTTTCAATCTCTAGGTTGGACAAGCTGCTGCTGCTGCTAACTCATCAAACCCAAAAAAAGCTGCAGGGATCACTGTTATCCACCAGACATACTTCTGAAAAGTTCTGCTGTCTCACACATTGAATGAATGATACTACACAGTCATTTCTCTATTAATATGGGCAGATTCTTGCCAATTTTACACTCATATCTTCAGCAGGGACACTGCAATCAAACGGCACTTCCTGGTTAATGAAGGGAAAGCATAGGCTTAGCAGTGTTACCCTTATGCCCCTGTGTGAGCCACAACCTTCTATAATTCACTTCATACAGCCATCAAAATGGATATCTTTCCATCCCCTCAAATGAGAACAAAAAGCCTTCCCTCCAAGCACTGTGAATGAACCTTATTGCTCTCTTTGACGGAAGACTCAAACACACCCTCCAAGGAACAAGGCAGCTGTTAGTATGGCACAGCTTCCAACTCCTCTGTTACCTTAGCCGACTTCACGCTCACTGGCTCTCAACTAGCTTACAGTGGGACTCCTGCTCTCCCTGGTTGACATTTGTAAGATTTTATAGTTTCTGCCACTACAGGTACCTATCAACACACTGCTGAAGGGAACAACCCTGCACATTCCAAAAGTCTTCCTCATAAGTTATCCCCAAGGGGTTCAGGGACTACAGACCATCAGTAGCCAAGTGAAGTCTTCTGACCATCCAGAATTTCTAAAGTAGCTCTGACATTATATCATACTTTAATAGACAGCGGCATACCTTTTGGACAAGGGTTCCAGAGCAAAATAACTACGATGATGCTGTTTCTCACAGGAACATAGTTATGAGTCAAATCTAAGCTGCTTCAATAAGAGTTTGGTGAGAAAGCTTGCTGATCTTGAATTAATGTTCAGGTGAAAAAGGAAATGTCAGGAGGAATAAGTCAGGATGAGGCCAGGCTTCTTTTCCTAAGTCTGAAACCATTTCAGTTCATTTTGGTGAAATGTATCTGTTTTGAAGTAATTCTGTTTTCTTAGTTCTCCGGTTTAAAAAATATAAACTGTACCCTTCTTTCTTTCACTTCAAGTGCTATCCAAAAAGTGATTATCAAAACAATACCAACAGGAGAAAATCTCACCCTAATGCTCCATTTAGTATTCAAGTTCAGGCCGGGCGCGGTGGCTCATGCCTGTAATCCCAGCACTTTGGGAAGCCAAGGCGGGTGGATCATGAGCTCAAGAGATCGAGACCATCCTGACCAACATGGTGAAACCCCGGCTCTATTAAAAAATGCAAAAATTAGCTTGGCATGGTGGTGCATGCCTGTAGTCCCAGCTACTCAGGAGGCTGAGGCAGAAGAATCACTTGAACCTGGAGGCGGAGGTTGCAGTGAGCCAAGATTGTGCCGCTGCACTCCAGTCTGGTGTCAGAGTAAGACTCCATCTCAAAAAAAAAAAAAAAAAAAAAAAAAAATTCAAGTTCACCCTGGAAGAGACAGAACAGATATAAAGCATGGATAATGAGGACATGTTTCAAGAGTCCCTAAAGAACCCCTGGGCCAAGAGTGGTGGCTCATGCATGTAATCCCAGCACTTTGGGAGGCCAAGGTGGGTGGATCATCTGAGGTCAGAAGTTCGAGACCAGCCTGGCCAAGAAGGTGAACCCTTGCCTCTACCAAAAATACAAAAATTAGCTGGGCATGGTGGAGGATGCCTGTAATCTCAGCTACTGGGGAGGCTGAAGCAAGAGAATTCCTTGAATCCAGGAGGTGGAGGTTGCAGTGAGCAGAAATCACAGCATTGCACTCTAGCCTGGGCAACACAGCAAAACTCCATCTCAAAAAACAAAACAAAACAAAAAAACCCTCTAAATTTCCATTGAAAATATGATAGATAGGCCGGGCGTGGTGGCTCAAGCCTGTAATCCCAGCACTTTGGGAGGCCGAGGCGGGTGGATCACAAGGTCAGGAGATCGAAACCATCCTCGTCAACATGGTGAAACCCTGTCTCTACTAAAAATACAAAACATTAGCTGGGCATGGTGGCGCCTGCCTGTAATCCCAGCTACTCAGGAGGCTGAGGCAGGAGAATTGCCTGAACCCAGGAGGCGGAGGTTGTGGTGAGCCGAGATCGCGCCATTGCACTCCAGCCTGGGTAACAAGAGCGAAACTCCGTCTCAAAAAAAAAAAAAAAAAAAAAAAAAAAAAAAAAAAAGAAAGAAAATATGATAGATAGAGAGGAAAGAGCACTGAGGTTGGCATTTGGATGGATGAGTTTGCATCCTGCCTCTGATCCGCAATGTTGCCTCAAGTTTATTTTGCCATTTATGACTTAGTTTGACCATAAAATAGGAAGAAAAAAAATGCCTGCTCTTTCCCAAGACCACTGGTGAGGATGATTAAAAGTATTATATACTTAGAAGCTCTTGGTCCAAAACTAATGCCTACATGCATCCTCACCCTTCCCAGCCTCATCCACCACTGACTGACTGTCCCTTAATCCTGAAACACGAGATTTCCCAGGAGAAAAAAACCTATGGCAAAGTCTACATTCATCAACTCTTTTGCAAGAGTGTAATTGGAGGCTGGGCACGGTGGCTCAAGCCTGCAATCCTAGCACTTTGGGAGGCTGAGGCAGGCAGATGGCTTGAGGCCAGGAGCCAGGAGTTTGAGACCAGCCTTGACAACATGGTGAAAACCTGTCTCTACTAAAAATACAAAAATTAGCCAGGCATGGTGGTGGGCACCTGTAATCCCAGCTACTCCAGAGAGTGAGGCATGAGAATTGCTTAACCTGAGATTGTACCACTGCACTTGGTGACAGAGCAAAAAACAAACAAACAAACAAAAAAAACCCCGTATAATTTGGGTAACATTTGTAGTGACTTTATAGAAATTAACAGACAGAATCAAAATTATTTTGCTTTGGGGACAATTTGTTTCCCCTGACAAAGCAAGACCCCTCTGAGGATTTTCTGACTCCCTAATAAGTTAAAAACTTCAAGGCCCATATTCCCTTGCAAGTGAAGATCTTTAAAAACAGAGATGAGAGAGATGGCAAAGGCGAAAGAACTCCAGTGTGGGCTTTGGGATGTGGACTTAAATCTGCACATCACTTCAGAGTTGGGCACCATTTCTAGTGTCACCATTGTAGACCAAGTTATACACAACTTGACAAAACACTGTTTCTGTGGAAGTGCCAATTATTCATGTAAAATTATTCGCTGCTTCTTCTTTTTTTTTTTTTTTTGAGATGGAGTTTCACACTGTCGCCCAGGTTATAGTGCACTGTTGTGATCTCAGTTTACTGCAACCCCTGCCTCCTGAGTTTGAGCGATTCTCCTGCCTCAGCCTCCTGAGCAGCTGGGATCACAGGTGTGCACCACCACTCTTGGCTAATTTTTGTATTTTTATTAGAGACAGGGTTTCACCATATTGCTCAGGCTGGTCTCGAACTCCTGACCTCAAGCGATCCACCCACCTTGGCCTCCCAAAGTGCTGGGATTACAGGCGTGAGTCATCCTGCCTAGCCTTACTCACTGTTTCTATTGCAAGTTCTTTCTTATTAAGCTATTAAACTTTGTTTTTATAATTATTAATGTACATTCTCATTATAAAAAATTTTAGAGGAGAGAGATCCAAGATGGCTGATCACTAGCAGCTCGGGATTGTAGCCCCCAGTGAAAGTGCAAAGAACGGGAGGACGCCACACCTTCCCATGAATTATTGTTGCTCACGCACCAGGAGATTCCCAGCGGCGGAGCCCCACGGGTCGCCAGCGCGACTCTTGTGACCGGCGAGGCGGTTTTGCCGGCGCCTTGGAACATAGGTTCTTGGTGCAGAGTCAGAAAAGCACCATCAATCTTAACGCCGATTTAGTCGGCGCAGTGGGTTGTTCAGATTTCGGCGCTAAGAATCAGTAAGTCGGACGTCCACTCGGAAACCCAATTACAAAGACAGTAAATACAAAGACCACAGATGGATAAATTTATAACGAAGGGAAGAAAACAGCCAAAAAAGGCTGAGAATACCCAAGATCAGAACGCCTCTCCCTCAACAGGGGATCCCAGTTCCTCATCAGCAACGGAACAAGGCTTGATGGAGAACGAGTGTGTTCCAATTACAGAAGCAGGCTTCAAAATGTGGATAATGAGAAACATCTGTGAATTAAAAGAACTTGTTTTAAACCAATCTAAAGAAACTAAGAACTTTGAAAAAAGATTTGACGAAATGTTAACAAGAATACACAATTTAGAGAGGAATATAAAAGTGAATTGATGGAGCTGAAAAACACAATACGAGAACTTCGCGAAGTATGCACAAGTTTTAACAGCCGAATTGATCGGGCAGAGGAGGGATATCAGAGGTCGAAGACCAACTCAATGAAATAAAACAAGAAGACAAGCTTCGAGAAAACAGGATAAAAAGGAACGAGCGGAGTCTCCAAGAAATATGGGACTATGTGAAAAGACCTAATCTACATTTGATAGGTGTACCTGAATGTGACGAAGAGAATGAATCCAAGCTGGAAAATATGCTTCAGGACATTATTCAGGAAAATTTTCCCAACCTAGTAAGGCAGGATAATATTCAACTCCAGGTAATACAGAGAACACCACAGAGATATTCCTCAAGAAGAGCAACTCCAAGGCACATAATCGTCAGATTCGTCAGGGTTGAGATGAAGGAGAAAATACTAAGGGCAGCCAGAGAGAAAGGTCAGGTTACCCACAAAGGGAAGCCTATCAGACTCACAGCAGATCTCTCAGCAGAAACCCTACAAGCCAGAAGAGAGTGGGGACCAATATTCAACATCCATTTCTTTTTTTTTTTTTTTTTTTTTGAGACGGAGTTTTCGCTCTTGTTACCCAGGCTGGAGTGCAATGGCGCGATCTCGGCTAACTGCAACCTCCGCCTCCTGGGTTCAGGCAATTCTCCTGCCTCAGCCTCCTGAGTAGCTGGGATTACAGGCATGTGCCACCATGCCCAGCTAGTTTTTTGTATTTTTAGTAGAGACGGGGTTTCACCATGTTGACCAGGATGGTCTCGATCTCTTGACCTCGTGATCCACCCGCCTCGGCCTCCCAAAGTGCTGGGATGACAGGCTTGAGCCACCGCGCCCGG